GCGAAAGGTCCAGAAGCATTGACCACTCGACCCACGCCACCGGGTAGTCAAGATATTACAGTGCTTACTTCATCTATCCAAAAGGTGTACCACGCAGGGGTCACACTAATTCTGTTTCTTCCATGATCGCGCAGAAGTGGACACTCAGCGAGCATCCACAGAACCAGGATTTTTTCTCCCCCGCAGTACCTGCTCTTGATCCACATCAGGGGCCTCAGAAATGCCGCATCGATCAATGGAGCATCAAAAAGGCGCGGCCCACAGCCGACTATATATTAATCTTTCTTTGTCAGGCAGTCGAGGTGACAATTAACAAAAGCTGTCATAGTGCATCTCCAGGTCCCAGCCCTGCACCTGTGCTTTCACCGTCAGCCATACCTCAAAGCATTTTTAGGAAGATGAGGCATTCACTACATTCACGCTCTCTTCTGCACGAGTCGCACCTCGTGCGAGCTTTGACGGCAGCTAAAGTAGTGCAACCTCCGCAGTAGAGTTTATGAATAGGTTCAACTCAATAATAATGGGCGTTTCTGGATCTATCTAGCTAAGCATACCGTCTATAAGTGTAGGAGTCACTGAGAAGTTTACAGATACATCACGCCGTGATAAACTTTTATCACATTATAGTTACACACCGTTCCACAGCAAATCTCTTTTTCGCTCAAGCGTATAGGTATTTGCCACGAAACTAGCACTTAAATGTCGCTTCGACAGCGATTTCTGACCCGACGATCGTTTTTTCTATGGAATATCAGCTGCATTATAGTAGCTGCGGTAAGTCATCATGTACATTATAATGACTGTGTTGATGGTATCGAAAGTGCTGTAGGGTCCTTATCAAAATCACACGCTGAGTATGGAAGACGCGATTCTTCACACAAATTATTCCTTTATGTGCCATCTCCAGTGAGTTTGATTTCACACAAAGCATGATGTTAATATAGAAAGCTGCTCATCAGCTCAAGGCGTTACTGTAAACAGTTTTGATCATCCTTATTAGTATGCTGGAGCAGTTACTGGCCAAATTTCAAAGGGGGAACAATGCTTCTCCCCCTTTACTGGTGAATAGTGCGATGATCTGCGCGACGATGTTGCCTACTGCCGATACACTGGTAGAAAATGCGCCAATCAGTAAGCAGTGGCTGCGACAGGAATATATTTTGATGGTGGGACCTCAAATACTGGATGCCGCGCAATCTAAACAAATTTGGCCAAAAATATGCTGTAAATAGCGGACCTCGAATCAAGATAATGATCACCAGCAAGCCCTGCTAGCGAAAATATATCGACAAATTGCTTGGCAGCACTCTCACCGGCAACAATGTTGCTGGCAGCAGCGAGATAAACTGTCCTGGACTGAAGGATCTGAATGCGTGCACGATGCTACTTCAAATCCTGTTGAACGCATTTTTCGCTTTCTTTGAGCCCGAAATCATTTAATATCAATTTTAAGGAGGTTATTGAGAGGCCGTATCATACCGGCAAAGTTTGCACTGCATTCGTGTAAGCTGTCGGCCACGCCAGACGTATACTTTTTGGGGAGAACGAACTAATCTACGATGTCCATGATTCTTGCGAGATCTGCGCATGGTGCAACTCATCGTGGGCTTCAAAAAATGCGCCTGTCTCTTTTTGCAAATAGCAGAGTTATGCGCTCACATTCGATACCTGTTTCACACCGCTGTATCGTATTACCTGCTGTTAGATAGGTATAATACAGTCTAAAAAGATGCTTCATTAGACGGCTGGTGTTGAATACTTATCGAGGATTGATTGGCAACTCCGCTCAAACTTCTACCTTTAGTGAGAAAATGTTTCTGTTTTTCATGAATTAAAACAACAGCACTAAACAAGACGCGAACGCCTATGCTCTCCTGTGGTATATCCGATCAGGAAATGACGTTTGCGTCGGAATGGTGGCTACCACTAGCTATCATCAACATGCACAATTTACAACTTATTGTTAGCCTTTCAGACAAAAAATAAAAATCTTCTATGTCATACATTGTTCTCGTGATTTGGGCCATTGATAGGTGACGCAATATTTGGCTCCGGCAACCAAGTCAGAATCATGACGCTCTTCCTGATAAAAGTAAACATTAGATGTTGGTCTTTAGTCGCCAAATTGTCATATACTTTTAAAGGCAAAAAGCGGGCCGTAGGATCCTTGAGGATAACCTCCTCATTACTCTTTATCTCAGTGCTCTTTGATAGTCCTCAATGATGGACTCATCCGTGACAAATTATGAATATAGCCCATCACCCCGTACTTACCGTACCAACTCGTTGATTTAGGGTCTCGCAAATTTTTGCATATATCCTGTAGCAAATTTTCTAAAGCTCAATGAGAGCGTCTGTCTGGAGTTGCTCACATTCTTTTACTACTCAGATCACTAAGCCGAAAGGTAGAAAAATTGTCACGAAATGTAAGGCTTCACTCTGAGCATGCCACGTAGTATTTCTGACTGAGCGAGACTGCTATATCATGACCGAGATGCACCACGTTTAGTGTCCCGCCTTTATAACTGTGACTTACAGCTGACAATCTTTATGCGAAGACCGAGACGCCCAGCCTATCTTACATGTTTCATTAAAATAATTACTGGAGACAGCAGCTCACAATCCCAAGCAACTGCACCACAAGCCATATACCGTAACCTCTGTCGTAGTAGATATACATTCTAGGATCGTGACATACAGTCGCAACCACGAGATCGCGGCTTACCGACGCATCTTTTCGCACAAGAAAATGGGCAAAACACCAGCTGCTTTTCCGGACAATCTCAAGTATTGCACCGAAGCTATCGTAGCTTCTGCCTGCAACGAAAGGGCTTCAGCCTTTGAGAATATATGGGCTCTATATCACCAAATCTTATTTATCAGAAAAGTCGTTGTTGATACCTCACGATACATAAATTGAAGTGGAATCATTAATGCAGACCAAGTAATAGACAGCATTTCTCGATGTCAAAAATCTCAACTTTACAGAAACGTTCGAGGCAAATTCAACCTGTCTTTGACAAAAGACCCAAATATATCATATCCGCTTTCGTCAGTTCCAATGCCTCCGCGTGTGGCCTACTATTGTTAACAGTCACGCGATGTGCAGAACCGCCCAACGCTTCTAAATGTGTAAAGACTTTTCACAGCCTCACAAAGCGTAGGAGGTTGATGGTAACAGCCGACAACCTTGTGTTGTCAGCAAAAATCTCTTTCGAGAGTGGCCTGTTACGGCCTAGCTACATCAACCTTGACTATCACATGCTACTATTAGAATCTCACCCTGATGCCGAGTGTAACGGGGGACACGTATCCTGGTCACAGGGGGGGGGGTGTCACACGAGATGGGCATGGTGTGACTGCACCCAAATAAGAATACGGTACGT